CGGGGCGGGGCGGGGGGCGGGCGGGGCCGGGCCGGTGCGAGCGGCGGGGCTGCCGGAGCCAGCCGCGAGGTGCAGCGCGCACATGGGGACGCACCGCATCGTGCTCTCGGGCCCCGGGCCCTGGGGCTTCCGCCTGGTGGGCGGCCGCGACTTTGAGCAGCCCCTCGCCATCTCCCGGGTAGGGTGGGCTGTGCTGGGGGGGCCGGGGTCGGCTCGGGCTGGCAGGTGGCACAGGGCGGGGGGTGGAATTGTCTTTTTCTCCCTCCTGTTTTTTAGTTTGGATTTTTTATGTTTACGGAGCAATAAGTGGTGGCACACGCAGCCCCTTTACCTGTAGCAGACCGGGGTCTGTGCTTCCCACCGAACCTCTCTCCTCACCGTGTCCATAGGGACCCTGCAGGCAGCAGGAATCCCCTCAGCCCTGGTTCGGGTTTGGCAGCCCACCCTGTGGGAACCCGTCTCACCCAGGTGGGCTCAATGCTCGCCTGCCTTTGCTTGCCCTGTAGAGTTAAAAGCCTTTGTTTACACAAGCCAAGTTAAGGTGTATTTAGTGCCTCTGCCCGTCTCTGTTCGAAGTCCTTCTTGCCCCCCTTAAAGAGAAATTAGTTAGGAAACGGCAAAAATTTTGCATCGAAGGAATTTTGGCTTTGTACATGGCTTTTCCCTCCTCTGCCCCAGCGCTTGCCCGTGAGACGCCGGTGCTCGCTGCCTCGCTGTCCGCTCCTGTCCGTCCCCACCTGCACCCACGGGTGCTCGGCCCGGCCGGGAGCTGCAGGCGACCACGGGCCGGTGTGTGGGACCCCGAACCCCAAACTGTTCCCGCACGGCTTCGCGAGGGGTGCAGTGCACAGACTCTTGTCGGGGCTGGCTGCAGGCCTCCCCTATGGGAAAAGGAATGAAGGAATTGCTCCTCTTTCCAGCAATCCCTCGGTAAAACAGAGGTATCCAGCGAGCTGCTGTTAGCCTTGGGCGCTGGCGTCTGCCAGCATTGCACAATTTTGAAGTGCCCGCATGCCCCAGGTGAGGAAGGGCTGCGGAAAGTGGAATATGCCAGAACTTGAACTCACGTGAACTGCCCTTAAAGAAGACCAGGTTGATCAGACTTGTGAATTTTTATAAATGTCTCCTGCCATGGGGTCCCACTGCCTGAAGGAGCCCAGGTGCCACGGGGAAAGCTGCCAGCTGCAGGAAGGGCAGAGCTCACAAGTGCTGTTAAACCCACGGGCGTGGGGGGTGAGTTATTAGTTTTCTGTGTCATCTCTTTCAATTACAGTAATAATGCCTCATTTTTCCTAAAGCATTTTTGGGACATGAAAGCACCTTTACTGTAAGGGAAGTGATATTTACTTCATTGTTATGGTAATTATTGCCATTTCCTTCCAGCAAAAGACTCTTGGGCAGAAGGGTGTCTAAAGCCCTACCTCACTGCTCTTACCTCTGGGTCGCCTTTGTCAATGCTTATAGGCACATACCAAAGGACGTAGATCAGCAAAGCAAAAAAAGCAAAAACAACCACCTCATGAGAAACTGTGACCCTGGAGACTAAAATGTAATGAAATAGCCTCTCTGATGGTGGTGACGTAAATGCTGACAATTAGCAGCTCTTATCAGGGCTTTCTCTTGTGACCCCTTTGACACTTTTAATTTCCCCTCCCAGACTTCAAGTCATTAATCTTTCCTGTGGTTTGCTTGTAAGGCTCCTGGGCTTCTCTCCTGGGCTCAGGAGTGAAATTCTTGGCAAGTCTTCCCCTTACCATGTAAAAAAGGATCTGGTCCAGTTTTGACCTGTTTTAAATTTTTTTTTCCTCCTTGTGTGATGACTTTACAGGGCTATAACTTCAATATTCTTGCTTATTTTACTTGGTACCTGTGTTTTCCCCAGAGACCTTTCTGGGAATGGAGCCCTCCTTCCCTCACAGGATGGGGTGAGCTATGGCTGTAGGACTGACATCTGCCAGGGGTTGTGAGGGCCTTGGTTCCACTGTGGTATGAGATAGGGGGGCTACCTGAGGCCAGTGAGAGGATGAGGAGGCTGTAACCTGTGATAAGAGTATTACCCTGGGAGCATGGGAGGTTGCAGCTCTCCCTCCTCAGCACTTCTGTGTTTGCTTTGTGCTGCAAGCAGGTGGGAGGTGGGTGGGTGCACAGATGTGCTCATGGGGAGCGCTGTTAGCAGGGGTGCACAGGGCTGGGCTGCCTGACCTGTGTGTGGGGCAGCTCCTGACACTGAGAGCACTGCAATTTGGGGGTGCTGTGTATGGGGTCAGTGCTGTCCCATATGGCCAGTGAAGCCTGTCCCAGTGATGCATTGGTGGGATCAGCATGCTGTGCCATGTGCTGGCATGGTGGGATGCCAGGAGAGACATCCATCCAGGCATAGACCTGAACTGGGTGTCTTGCAGCTCTCTTTGAACCAGGTGCCTAAATTCAGCCTGCGTTGCCTGCCAGGAGCTCATGTTTGGCTTCTGGCACCATCATCCTTGTGCCGTTAAGCTTTAGAGCTTATCTTGGTATTTATGGCCCTCATCACCACTGTGCCTCAGCTTCTTGCTGGTGGCTTTTGGCTTCTCAAGCTCCTCAATCAGCTAGGGAGCAGCTGTACTTGAATGTAGTCATGTTGGTGGGAGGCAGCACCGTTTGAGTTGTTCTCTGGAGGAAGTCATTGAAGCTTGGTGTTGCAGTCTTGGGTCCAAGAAGGATGAGGAGCACTGGTACCATGAGTATGGGAGTCATCAGAGCAGCCTGGCCAAGGGCTTCTGGCTGACAGCATCTGCATGGTACCAATGTCTGGTTGTGCCTTAGAGGAGCAGCAGATGAAATATTGTCATATATGAAATATCCACAACTGCTCTTACCTCGTCTTTTGTCACTGTCCTACCTCACTTTCCACTTGAAATATGTGTTCAAAACTGCTTCAGGCTCAAATACATCACAAGCATCTTGTTGTGAGAACACTTCTGGTTTCTTGGTTGTGTTGGACTGGTCTTTCTGGTGAAAGCTGAGTATGGGGATTTCACAAGTGCTGCTCCTGAGACTTGAGGAGTTTCCCATCTCTTTAGGATGGATGCTCCACAGATGTTTCTGGCTTACATTTCTTTTTAAAACTGTAGGGTTCTGGTGGACACTTTATTGCAATCTTTGCTCAGAACAAAAAAACAAACTTGTGTTGGTCAGTGTAATGAACCCTGGGCCAAAGCCTGCTGGATTGCCCTACAGGAGTAGGAAAGGCCCTTGTCTTTACTGCTCTTTGTGTGGTATTCTGCAGTGAGTCAGGGGGATAGAATTTGAGAAAAGTTCTTTCTGAGATGTGAATGGGCACAATACATACAGGATAATAGATTCTATAGAGCTGACCTATGCACAGGGTAGTTCCCAGTTCAATCCCATTGAGGCTGGGAGCTGATGGAGGAAGCAGCACGTTGTATAAGCAGACACTGATGAAGTGGAGCTGTCTGAAAAGCAGTGCAGTTGACAGAACCCATCCCCCTCCATTCCTCAGGTAACATGAGCTGTTGCCTGTTTGGTTGCATTTGATTTTGATAAACACCGAGGGTTTTTGTTTGCAGCTGAATATATGGAACTGCCTGGTAAATCGTGTTATTGAGATGATTCTTGTGGTTTGTGGTAGTGATCTTGAACATTGACCCAAAATATGGGCAGAGCAGATGTTTGCAGTTTTGTCATGTCGAAAACCTAATTTTTGACATTTTGACAAAGCAACCCCATTAAGGATGGGTGTCTCTTAGAGTCTGTAAAATTGGACATTTTCTTAAAAAACCAGATTTCCAATGAAAAAATGGTTTCAAGGCAGACCAGTCATGCAAATACATTAAAAAGATGAAATCCCAACATGATGCTTGTTGCTGATTTTGACCACTGTAACATTAATTCATCCCTGCTTAGTCTGATATTTTATCTATTTGTGCTATTTTTAAAACTCAGAATTTATATAAAATACAGAATTGGATCATAATTGGGCGTTTGAGTGCGTTGGTTTTCTTTTTTAAGTGTGGCCATCTGAACCAGCTTTATACATTTAAAGCTTGATTTGGTCATAAAATTGGACTTGATGGTCTGAAGTTTAACATGGGAGTGGTGTGACCACATCCTGTGGTGTGAAAAGATATCAGGTTTAGCTTTGGTACCAGCTGATGTCCTTACCCTGCCAGCAAGTCACCCTTGTAGGGAGAAGCTGAGCAAAGACATCCCGGAGCCAGTGGTGAAGGAGAGCCCTGGTGGTACTGGACACCCTGCTAATGGGCATCCCTTGATGGCATGGGTGGAGCCTGTCCTCCCTCTGCTGCATGCCAGGGCTCAGCCGAGTGGCACAAGGGCCTGCCCTGGGAGCTGGGCTCCAGCCTCTTCCCCAGGTGGAAGGAGACTCTGGCTGCAGGTTGTTTTTCTGAGACATGAGGAGAGCTGGGGCTTTCCAAGCGGCCCTCTGCCCCCAGAGTGGAACCCTTTGACCTTCTGTCTGCCAAAGGAAACATGGGGTGTGGTGGATGTGATAGGATTTGGGGTTGGACTGGCTTTCCTCCTCAGCCAGGAAAGCCTTGGCTGGTCCCCTCTGTGCATACCTATGACTGCAGTTCCTCTGCCACGCAGTCCCAGCTCTCTGTGACTGCCAATCTCAGCATTGTGCTGGGGTCTTGTTCTGAGGCTGTCTGGGCAGAGGGAGGCAGCTGGGGAAAGCTGCTGGACTTTCCAGGAAGGTGAAGGTTGCTTTGTTTCCTGCTGGGATATTTACCTGGCTGTGGGAGGGGTGGGGGCTGTGGCAGCACTGCTGTGCCCTGCCAGGCAGAGCTGCTGCAGAGCTGCACAGCTGATAAGGGCCTGTGGAACACTGGTGATTAGTGTCACCTGCCAAGTGCTTGTGGCCCTGCAGAAGTGGCTGGGCTGGTGTTTAGAGGCTGGCAGGATGCCTTGTGCCTTAGCTTGGAGGGAGTCCTGTCTGCTCTGTCAGAGCACACCAGGTGTGAAAAGCACAGGTTGTGCCCCTGTGACTTTGAAGTCAGCATCAATCCTAGCAGCTGCTGGAAAATCCTGTGCTTCAAAGATACAAATGGCTGCTGAGAAGAGGAAAAGACTTTTCTGATCTCCCTGACTGCCAGGGTTTGGATAAAAGTCCAAAGAAGTCTTCCTTAGCTGTAGCAAGGGCAAAGCAGCAAATTTTCTTGG